CCTCCCTGAGGTAAATTCCCTTCTGTGAGGCACATGGGAGGCGGGGCTTGGCTGGGAGAGAGGCGATTGGTGGAAGGGGCTGCCCTTCCCAGGTGCCCCGGAACCCCATTGGCCAATGAGCGGAACGTCTCTCCCGCCTTCCCCTCTCACCTATTTTAGGCGGGAAAGCGGAATCCATGCCCCCAAAATGGAGAGGAAGGGTTTGCATCGCCTCATCTGAGGGCTCTTTGCCTCTCTCAGGTCACAAACGCACCTCACCCGGCCGTGCGATGCCTTGTGGCTTCTTTTTTAGAGCTTTTTTCCCTTTCCTTTCCTAAAAAGCTGACCCAAATACTCTAAAATGTGTATTTTCAGAGACCAAAAAAGCCCCCTTTCTCTCAGCACAAAAGACTGAATCACACCTGTGTTCATCTTGACGTTTCTCGTTTTAAATAGGAACTTTTATCAGTTTGCTTAAAATGTGGGGGTTGGCCCTGTGAAAGCCATTTCAATAAAACAATCAGTCAATCAGTCAATCGATCAATCAGAGGACAGTCAATAAACAAAGACCTCTCTACTCAGAAACATGCTTGTTGGATATGAACAATGCTAATATTTTAAGAGGTAATAAGGATAATATATCTGAGTAGATTTGTTCCTGGATGAAAGAGAGCTGTTTGAATATTTATTTATTAGTGACATCATCACAAGCCTAGAAGAATTTTAGGAAACGCTGTTAGGTTCTGTCGTTCTTATGAATAAGATTATTTTTAAAGCTAAAAAGTAGATTGCAAATGGTTTGAGCGGAAGACCTCCAGGTTTGTGGGGGGCAAATCCTACGCTGGGGATCACTTATCGTTGAAGAGATTAAACATGAAGTCCGGTCAGGAGGGACGAATTTGGGGTTCTTGAAGGAGGAGGTCTGACCGTGTGGTCCTCTGGGGCCATCCAGGGCAAATCCGGCCCCTCGAAGGAGGACACGGCAGGATTAGGAGGGCAAAGAAGGGCCCAGTCCCAGGGAGACCCCGCGAGGGCTCCCCCCTCCTCAGCCCCCCCCAGAAGTCTGCCAAAGTCGGCTTGGTGTCCTCTGGAGAAAGAGGAGGAGGAGGCGTCACTGCCCTGAGGTCCCTCCCTGTTTCCCTGCAGCTTGTAAAGCAACACACACATACATACCCTGCCCCAAGAAACACACACCCCTTCAGCAGGGCAGCCCCCCCCCCCAGGCCATCATTCTCCCAAAGGTCTCCTCAGGAGGCCTTGTTCCTGGTTGGAGCTGAACACCCGGGGGGGGGGCTGCTCTGGCTGGCTCCCAGCCCCTTGCCTCCACCCCCTTGGCTCTGTCCATGGTGCTGACACTGCCCTCCAGGTTCCTCATGACTCCTGCCCTGCTCAGACAGGGGCTGTGGCAGGCCTGGCCATCCTCTGTGATTTGCACATTTGCAAAAACACCAGAAGAGGGACCCGCAACAACCATCTTTCCCCAATCTGTGGTGTGGTTACATTTGGAGTACAGGACTGTGTGCAGCCCTGATCTCAAAAATGATAAAAGGGTGTCAGATTTGAAAGTAGGCAGAGGAGAAAGCAACCAAATGGATCAAAGAGTCTGTGAGTTTCTGCTTTGGCTGTGATTTGCACATTTGCAAAAACACCAGAAGAGGGACCCGCAACAACCATCTTTCCCCAATCTGTGGTGTGGTTACATTTGGAGTACAGGACTGTGTGCAGCCCTGATCTCAAAAATGATAAAAGGGTGTCAGATTTGAAAGTAGGCAGAGGAGAAAGCAACCAAATGGATCAAAGAGTCTGTGAGTTTCTGCTTTGGGGGTTTTAAGAAAACCTAGGTTCATAGAACTGGTAAAATGTTGACCAGCACGGAGAAAGTGGCCATAACTTTTTCTCCTTCATTCCTAACAGCAGTAGTTACTGGGATGCCAAAGACCAGTGGACTTTCATAAGCATTTTCAAAACAATTATCCCATTGAAGACTTGCTCAATATATTCTCGAAGGCTTTCACGGCCGGATCTGATAGTTGTTGTGGTTTTTTCGGGTTCTTTGGCCGTGTCTTGAAGGTTGTTCTTCCTGACGTTTCTGGTCTCCCAGCGTACTTCCACCTTGCTCGAGATTAGGCTTATGGATATGAACATAATGGAATGATCATGGGAAGGAAAAGGATGGACGTAGACATTAGCAGTTCCAAATATGCTGGTTTTCATTTAAAATGGAGGAACCAGAAGTAGCCCTTGTCCTAAAGTTATAGCAATTCTAGTGATTTTTTTAAAGATAATTTCTCCCGGTCCCCCTTCAGCCGAGCTCTTTCCTGGCCAGCTTCTGTCCTGGCCGTCAGAGAGGCTCAGAGAGGTCCGCTCCATGCCCCTGATGCCCTGGGGTGGC